GCCTTTCCCCAGCGCCTCGGCCGCGGCTCCGGCGGGGCTCCCGGCCCGCCTCCGCGGGGGGGGGCTGTTCCTCACGGGCCCGAGTCAACGTCGTCTCACGGAGCCTCGAGTCACCAGTGGAGCCCGCGGGCGGGACCCCCTCCCGCTCCCCAGCCACGGCGCTTGGCGTCCGTCGCCTGTGCGAACGCCGTCTTTCTGTGCCCGGGATCTGTGAAAAGGCTGAATAACTACCAGGAAATGCTTTAGGAGAGGGGGTTTTCGTTTGTGTTCTTAAAAAGAAGATGGAGCTTATTTCCTGGGGATGTTAGCCTTCAGCAGGATAGTAGGGAAAATATTGTTGGACTTTTTTGTCCTATTTTATACTGGAGGTGTTTGCTCTCTTCTGTCCAGTGTACTGTACGAGGCAAATATTGATTCTGTAATACCGTAAGTGAATGACAAAACATATTTTGCTTTTGTCACTGTGAGTCAGTCAGAATCTGGTAGAGTAACCTGGGACCTGCCGCACTTCTGCTGGCTTTCGTGGCACCTGCTGTGCTTCAGAAGACCTGCCCTAGAACTGAGGATGGAATGGCTGCTCAAACATAGCTTATCACCAGCGTTGTATGTCTTTGAGGACAGTATACATTTGAAATAATTTACGTGCTTAACAGATGTTAATGCATCCTCCCCCTTTGCATCATTTACTACATGCAGCATGTTCGGTTTTATGTAATCTTTGGAATTGTCTAGAGAAGTTTGAATGGGATGTGCTCTAGTAAAATGAATAGTAAGGAAATTCAGGAAGTATCTTTCTGGTGTGGTTAACGAGTTGGTAGCAGAGTGGTTTGATATATTACAATCCATATGAGGAATACAGTGTTAAAGAGTATTTGGTAGCCTTTAAAAGCTTAAGTTCTCTACTAGTGCTGGCAAAAGTTACAGTGACTGCTGCTTGTTCTGAAAAGTTTTAATTACTTAAGTAACACTTAGTTGAATATATTCGTTTGAAATATGGTCTTTATCAACTGGACTCAAGCAGAATAATGGTAGAGTATGCAGTTATTTAAAGAAAGCACACTAGTACAGGGCAAGTGTCTGTCCTGTAGTACTAACAAAGTCCTTATAAACTTTGTTGGACTACGTCATCATAAGAAGCAATAGATATACTGTGTAAGAATTAAATACCTAAATTTCTTAACAGAATAAAAGTCCATGTTTTTGTTATTTGTATTCTTGATGTAAGGAGCAGTCTATAATGGTGAGGGCCCTGTAAAAACTTAGATGTCTGATTTTTCAATATATGCAAATAGATGTATATAAAGAGTTATCATTTGTTTTACTTCCTCTCTTGTTTATCATGGCTTTTTTCCACATGTATGGTAAAAGCTGTAGTCCTCTGTATAATAACATGTCACCATACAATTATTGTCTTCTAGCCACTTAGCAGTTAGTGCCCTCCTGAAATAGACTTTGGTTAAGATTGTTGTAAACCTGTACAATCTGCCCTTTATCTAGTCTTGAGCATGATATATAAGAAGCCCTCTTCCTAAATGAATTTGAAATTCATCCAAGTTGGGATATGTTTATCCTCAGGGAACTTGTGTCCACTTATCTCATGCTTATTTAAGCATTATCATAACACATCTGAGACTGTCTTTTATTTGAACCATGGATTCTCTCCTCCTTATGTATTTATACATGTAGCTTCTTGGGGTGTCAGTGATAAGTACTTTTAAACTTGTATTAAAATTCATCAAAATTTTGTATTTTTCATAACAAAGGCAGCGTTTTGGTAGAATTACCTAATCATCTGTAATGGATGGTGACATTAAATGACTACAGTCACTAGGTTCTTGCAAATGGAAAAAAGATTTTTTTTAGCAGATGAGAAACTTCCTGAGAATTGAAAACATTGCTCAATAGGATTGCGAGGAAAATCATAGAATCTGACACACAGGTGTGTACACCAACAATCTCAGAGTTTGATTTTGCAAATGATTTTTTTTTTATCAGACAAATGTTTGGGGTTTTTTAATGTATTAAAATTGTGTGTTATAAGTTGTGTAATTAGAATGAATTGTATCTGAAATCAAGAAATCTTTTTGGGTGTAAACTTCAAATTTGAGTTCTTCTGGAAGCCTGTGCTAAATTTCAGAAATTAGGCTAAAAGATCTATGATTTCCCCAGCCCCTCCATTTATAATTTGATAGAAGTGACCTAAACTTCTTGCTGTCTCTACAGAAGTGTTTTCCCTAAACACAAAAAACCTGTTTTGGTTTCTTGCTCAGCCTGTGACTTTTGTCTTCTTTTACTGTGTTAATGACCACAACATCCTGGTAACTTTAGGGAAAACCAGTGACAGCAGACCTACATGCAAATCCTGCTGCATGTCAGGGAAGTCATAAAGATTAAAAAAGCAAATACCTATAAGCAGAACCCTTGTGGTGATACAGTGCCATTTTCATTCAAGCCTAACAGTCATGAAATAGCTGCTTTTTTTATTTGTTATCTAAAACTTCTTTTAGCCTGGAGAATAAACACAGTATTCTTTTGGCTGAAGAATATTGATATTGTTTAAGATTAAGATTAATTTACTGTTGAGAATGGTTTTTGATGGTAAAACTTTCTTCTAGGCAAATATAATAATGTATTGGGAAAATGAGGCATACTTCTCATGAAATATGTAATGAGCTACACCTGTGAGTTTCTTTGACACACAATAATTTATGTTGGCTGTTTAAAAATCATCCCTTTCTTACATTAGGAGTACAGCCTATGGAAGTGCAAAATCAAGGTAGTAAAACATTGGTATATGAAGCAGCATTCTCCTTTTTGAATTTGTAATTAATGTTCAGTCTTTTCACAACTGGAGAATGGCCCCTTATCCTTCCCCAGTTTGCAAGTGACCCAAAGGTTTGACATATTGTGTGTAAAACTGGAAACAGTTTACAGTTCAAAGTGCTTAAAAAAAAAATAGTAACAGATTAGGTACAAAATAGGGAAGTAAACGTAAATCAAACCTATGGCAAGTTAACCTTAGTGAATTGGATTAACACATTTTGAAGGCAACAATGATAGAAGTCAAAGTACATAGTGAATGTCAGGGTCTTTGAAGGGTTTAAGGAGTCAGGAGGTGTCAGGGTGCTGAATGGGCACCTTGAAGGAAGAAGCCGTGGCCGGTGCCTCCTTAGAGCTTGAAAAGACACTGCATGTCTTGTAACTCCTCTGGTCAAAGGATCACCTAACTCTGATCCGCGTCAGATCCTGTGATACCAGGGGAAGGACTGAGTGCAGAAACTAAGGCTAATACAGTATTTAATGCAGCCTTTTTAACCCCCTCAAAAAGTGCGTTGTCCTGTGGTTGAGGAGGTAGTATTCAAGAACTCATCCACCAGTCTTTTTAAAAACAGTTCAAGAACATGAAAAAAGTATTCTATTACTGATTTGATTTTGTACACACTTGCTCTCATTTACAGACAAAACTAAAGCAGTGTGCTACTTTGTTACAGCATGTCATCAAAGCGTGTTCAGAAACCTTTCTTAACCGAGTGGTTCATTGCTGCAACTTTGCCACACCTATTATTCTTAAAATTCTACTTATTTAAGAAATTTAAGTTGCTGCTTAAAATAAGTAGATAGTCTTCTGCTTCCCACCTCCATGCCCTTACTAATGTGAGCAGAGGAGGAAGCATATATAAAATTCAGTACACAGCAGTAAAAGGTTTTCTTTTGCTTCACATAATTCAGAAGAGAAAATAAGTTGCTGCATATCCACTTAGCAATTGGAAAAAAACAGAAGGGATTCATTCTCCAATTAAACCCACATCAGAATTCAAAGACTTTCTGGATTTCATAGCATTTTATGAAGCTTAGTGTAACTTCTTAGGACTTTTAAAACTGTATTTTATGTATTTATTCTGCCAGTTTATTGGCAGAAGTGTTTCATGCATGTGTAATTACTAGTAAGTGAGACAGGATGAGTCACAAGGTAAGCATGTGCAGGTTTTAACATCTCATGTAATTCCACCAGGTGAATTTTGTGTTAGTAACAAAAAAAGCAGCTCAGAGCTCTTTTTGTAATGCCTCTACATCTTGTGTCCTCATCTATGATAGATCTGTTTGAATATTTGCATGTGATGCTGAGGAAGGTTCAAACAAATAGCTGCCTTCCAAGCACTGATCATGTTTTACAGCAATCTGAATTAAAGTATGGGAGAGAGTCACAGTCAGTAAATTATGTCTAGTTAACCACTCTGTTAAAGGCTCCCAGGAGCAATGCTGATTTTATTATTTTTTTTTTTTTAAAGTAAGTTTTCTTTTCAGAGTTTCTTCAGTGAGGTGCAACTCTGGAAACCACTGGAAATGTATGGAAATATTGCCAGTGATCATAGTTAAATTTTTCTTCTAGCTATGTATATTGTATTCTGAGTATCAAATGCTTGCAGTGTATGTATATTTTTTTGATCTCTGTGATGAGGTCTTGATCTTTTTGTATTTGTACTGCTTTTTCACTCAGTGCTTAATTAAGTTGTGGCCCTCATAGCCAGTGAATGTTGTAGAATCCAGAAGTGTAAAAAAAAAAAATTTATTGCTAAATGCTGGGAGTCCTTGTGGGAAAATATTACTGAATACTTCCACTGTTCTTTTGTTCTTCCCCCAAACATTTGTTACTGGCTACTTCTAAAGCAACAGAATACAGAGAGCTATCATTCTTGGTTTGATCCAGTATGACCATGCTTGGCTACTGATTCTTTCAGCCACCTACCACTTGCTATAATATGAGTTAAATCTCAATATTTTGGTAAAAATAGTCTTTGAACATATGGTAACTCTCAACTTAATTTTTTTTTCTTTTCTTGTTCAGTCCTCTGGATAAAAATAGTGTAAAATCCTCATGTAAATTAATCCCACTACCTTCTGTGATTGAATTTGCTTTTGTGTCTGCATCTGCATGAGCAAACGTATTTGCCTGTGTTGCACATGTGCAACAGTTGCATGCATGCGTTTCCATCAGCAGTGATGGAAGGTGTGTGCAAGCCTTTAGGAGTACCGTTTGTCAAATACTGTAGCAGACAAGGTGTTATATCCCTGCAGTGTGGATAGTGTAACTTTAATATTTAAACTTGTTTTGGATTTTTTTTTTTTTAACAACCACCCCCCACCTCCAGCATTACTCCAACGTTAGCAGCAGTCTAGAGGGTTAACTACTGTAGGTTTTGGTATGTGGGCCTATCTTTTGAAGATGTGTTGATGTTGAATTTATGGAGGTTCTGCTTACAGTACATTTGGGAAGCAGAGGAAGGGAGAAGAGACTCTGTAACAGGGTCACCTGAGTGAGTATCTTAGGGTTTTTTGCTGTCTAATGTGATGGGTCTTGTCAGTGGTGTTACCTTCTACCTTCATATTGGGGTATATTTATTTTTCAAATACAGTTTAGTATTGATCACTATAGGTAAATCAGACTCTGCCAGATGATACCTTTCACATTCTCTGGAAGCTTCTAGATGGCATCTAATCCTTAAATGGATAAATGTTCCTGTCCAGATCTCTTGTGTCAGTGTCACAAGCTTCTGACAGGCTTCTTGGCTTAAAGTTCGTAAAAGAGATTCCCTCAAAGCAAAAGCAGTTCTTTGGAAAATACTACTTACTTGGCTTTGAACTTGTCACTGGTTCACGGGGAATAAGTTCAATGATTTTTAAAGCTCTTCCATCCTGACAGGCACTTTAACAAGTGTCTGTTGTTACCTGGTTTCAGCAGTGAAATCGGAATTTTTGACCTGTTTTGTGTAGTTAGAGGGTTACAACTGCTGGAAGATGAGCCTCTTCTGCATGTCAGTCTTTCTTAAGCTGCCTGCTGCAGGTCAGTTTTACTCTTTTGTCTAGTTAAAGGGCATCTCTCCAGTAAGTTAAGATTAAAAATTCATTTAAAGGTACCACAAATAGGAAAAAAAAGATTTACAAGAGTATTTGGATTAGGCATTTTCTCATGTGTTTTGAAACCTACCATTGTAAAAGTTTGACAGGGAAACCTGAATGGGGAAATGGCAGGGAAGACTGCCATTTTATTTCTGCCTTTGCTAGAACAGTCTTGAACGGTATCTTCTTGTGTTTCCTAGGTAAGAAATGTTGGCTTTTTTAACCTCTTCTGGGAATTATTATTTGAACATGTTTGAATACCCCTTAGTTGAACTGCAAGTTTAATACCTCTTAGTTGAACTGGCAATCTAAAAAAAAAATAAACAACTGTGAATTTATGCAAATTTCCCCTGAATTTGCATAAAAATGCTCAATGACTAAAGCCTGCATTCATCAAATTTTTCAGTGTTTAGCTTCCCAAACAACTTATTTTCTAGAAGGTAACTTTCTTGTAAGAATAGTGTTGTACTTATCCACTGATCGCTCTCTCATTTGGTGGTGGGTTGTTTGGGGGGGGGTGTTATGTTGGTTTTTGATGGTTGTTTTTTTTCCCTCTGTTACTATTATGGCCGAGGGGCTAGTTGTTTTTTTTTTAATTGAGAGTCTGTACACCATGAGAGTTGACTGTCGAGTCAACTTAACTGAGGATATGGTAATGGGTTTTTTGGTGGAGAAACATGAGTTCTCAGGTGAAGTAAAAGGATAATTTCTAAATGAGATTTGCCACTGAAAGACTTGTGATTGTATTTTCTGTTTCCCATACTCTGTAGAAAGATTAGGGTGTCCCTAAACAGGTTTTTTGATTTTGGGTTTTTTTTGTTTGTTTGTTTTTCTTCAATTTTGGATAGGACTGCATGTGAATTTTTACATTTAAGGGAATAGTTGAAGTTTTATTGCTGATGTAGAGTGGTTATGAAAAAGAAAAACATCATTCAGTTGGGCTAAAGTGGCACATACTTAATTTTTTAGCTAAAGCATTATAATGAGCACTTACTTGAACACCTTGCGTTTCTCAAATCCTTCTTGCCTTCTGATGCTCTTTCTTTTATTATTCATCAGAAAAAGTTATTACTTTCCTCGTAGAGAAAAAAATTGGATCTATCAATCCACATCACAATTGAGTTTTCTTTGGGTTATTTTAGGTTAGTAGTATGTTCTCATTTCGTCTATTTTGAGTTCAGGATATTCAACATATTGTTATTTTTAAATGACTACACACAGACTAATTAAAAGAATCTGTCTGATGCATGAATTTGTATTGAGGATGTTGTGGGGACAGTAGTAAGATAAATGTTTTTTGGTCTTTTCTTAAAAGTTGTTATCTTTTTCCCTGAAAGATGGTTGACCCTACTCTAGCAGAAATGGGAAAGAATCTGAATGAAGCAATGAAGATGCTAGAAGACAATCAAAGGTATGTGCAAAGGATAACAACTACAAAAACAATAGCTGTTTGTGCTAAGGGGAGGATTATTAATGTTGCTGTCATTAAGCAGGAAAGAACTAATTTTCATAGTAGTTTAAGTCCATATTGTCTTTCTGAAGCTTACACCTGTACAAATCACCATTGTTTCTCAAATGATGGGATTTTTAAAATGAATGTACATATTTTTATGCATATTCTGTAATATTCAGAGCAAGTCCAGCAAGTCTGTTTTTTCAGAGATGTTAGATTTTTTTTTTTCTTATTGCTGTGCAAGTAACTTTTAGTTCCTATATATATGAGACTCTTCTGTAAGTTTGACATTTTCTGTTAAAGGACTAAAACCCCAAAACTTAGGAGCTCTTTAATTCAGTCTGAGCTAAACTTTTGTGTTGGTCTCATCTGATTTACTTATGAAAATGTTGTCAGTTACATAGATTGCAAACATGTCAGTATGTATTTCTGCAAGTCAAAGTCAACTACATATTTGATGTTATAAAACATAAACTAAATACATAGTTTATTCTTGTGTCTCTAACTTAGAAAAGCAGAGGAAGAAAATGAAAAGAAGTATGCACGGAAGGATATTCCTGGACCACTCCAAGGCAGGTAGGTGATAACTAGATAATGCTCTTTACTTTTCAGAATCTGTAAAATACATGTAACATGTTTGTTTTCCAAGCAACTTCTGTATTAATGCAAACATGAACATTTATCAACCTTTTCCATACTCATGTAGGGGCAGGGGGAGGGGGGGGAGATTATCCTCATACCAACTACTTCCGTACTCACATATGTAAAAGAAAAAAAAGATTACTTGTCCTGGGTAACTGAAATTTTGAACTGTTGGAATTTAATCAAGTATTGGTGCCTACAGCTGTGATTGAGACTTAAAGTAAATATAAACTTGTGCTATAGAATAAAGATTCATTAAAACACCCAGATGGAAAAAAAAAAACCAAACTGAGACTGATAAGGAGAAAACCTGAGAAAAAAACCCAAAACCAAAAACCACAAAACAAAACCAAAACACCGTCCCCCCACCTTTTTAGCACAGCTGTCTTAAAAAATTATATGGTGCTCTTGTGCATAAGGCAGGTAAGGTCATTGTACCTGAAAACTAAGAGTTAAATTGGTTGTAACCTCTTTGGAAGATGATCCTGCAGGAGCCCAAACTAGCACTTCAGAAAGTATTGCAAAATCTATTTAAGTCTTTTGTGTACATAAACTAAACTTGGTTTTGAGTGGAGACACTGAATTAGCTTTTTTAAGAATAAAAAGCAATTTCAACTGTCAGACTGTAAGTTCTTATGCTACTGTAAATTTTAGTTGGAATTATGCAAATAAAGTGTTGTGGATCTTTTCCAGTTTTACCATGTTAGAGTGCATCATGTCAGAAGTCTAATGTAGCTTTTGTTTGCCAGAAACTAATATTTGTAGGTGGTAGTTTAACAGATGTGCTGCGTTTGTGAGACGAAGCTCGATCATGTGAAGAGAAATTTGGATCCTTGGCTATAACCTTCCTTTGCTATGTAGCAATAAGCAATTAAATGTTGTCAAGTCAAACTTTTCAGTCCAAATTTTCAGATTTCAGTAGATTTGTTTTTATGTGGGTTTGAGTTCATACTTATTGAAGTGTCCTACTATAATTAAGTAGGGTTTTGAATTAATTAATTCAGCAACGTTGTCTTCATTATTTGTTTTTCTGAGAGCAAGGAACCATTTTTGTTGCTATACTCAGCATTCTGTAAAAGTGCAGTGTTGTCTTCATGTCTTACCATGCAGTGTCCCAGATGGCCTCTTTGTTGGATGCTGGTACTTACTTTTTTTTTTTTTTTTTTTTTTTTTTTTTGTATGACTCTTGTTTTCCCCGCCTTGGTATGCCAGTGGCCAGGATATGGTGAGCATACTTCAGTTAGTTCAGAACCTAATGCATGGAGAGGAGGAAGAGGAAACTTCACAGGCCTACCGGTAAAGCCAATATGAATTATTGTATGTGGAAGATATCTGATTTTGTTATATTCTGATTATTATAGAACTTATACATTTAAGTGTTTTAAAGTGTAAAGATAACTGTGCAACCGTGTAACTTTTTAAAGGAAACTTACATTATACAGTGAACCAGAATAATGCATTAGGGTTGGCTTTCTTAAAATTTTAAAGCTTTCATTTCTAATTACTAAATTGAATTATACATGGGAATTGTTTCTGATGTGACAGCTCATTTTGTTTTCTACTTTCTGAAGGTTGTTTTAAGTCTGAAAGTCTTATAGAACTTTGAATACCGATATTTTTACCATCTCTCCCTGTAGATTTTAAAGGAAAAAAAGAGAAAATAAAATTTGTTTCCATTTTTCTGTAAAATGGAAATAATGCTAACTAATCTGCAGAAGATTATTGAAAACTAACATCTGAAAAACAACTTGGAGATTAAAAAACCAACCAACCAAAAAAACCCCAACAAACCAAAAAACCCCCAACAAACTAATGAATGCTATACCTCTAAAGATATTAATAATAAGCCTTTTGAGTTTCCTCTGCATGAGGAGAGAAAGGTATGTGTTTAACACACTTTAAAGTCCCAGTGCAGATAAGGTGCTTCGTTCCAACTCATGCAATTTAATTGGCTAAAAAAGATGCTGAGGTGTTACTGTAAGCAGCTAGGCCAAGTGAAGTGCAAGTGCTTTTGTCTGCACTGGCTTTTTAGTATGTAATACTCAATGACAGGAAGGTGACTGTGGTATACTGTACTCCACTCTGCTAAATAGTTAAAATTGCATGTCACAAATTCTGCCACTCTACAGTAAAAACACGCAAACCTAAAATTACTGTAATGTTCATGACTTTTATTTAGTTGGCAGTTACTCTGTTTTGGCTTGCAGACTTCAAAATGTTGGTGAACAGGGTCACATGGCTCTACTGGGACATAGTTTGGCTGCTTATATATCAGTGCTAGACAGGGAAAGACTGAGAAAACTTACAACAAGGATCCTTTCTGATACTACTCTCTGGCTCTGCAGGCTTTTCAGGTGAGTCACTGCGAATAACTTATGTATGAATTGGTAGTGATAACTGTTTAAAAATGTGTGGCTGGACTGAAGATGTCAGCAAAAGAAGCCACTGCCACAAACTTACAAATATTCTTTGAAAGGTCTGAAACACAACACATAATTAAAAAAAAAAAAGACTGCATTTTGAATGGCAGGAACTTATTAGTAACATGGTTGCCATAAAAATCCTTTTATAACAGTTATATGGTGGAGGTAAGGACCAAAGTACAGTTGCAGACATACGGCTGGTCAAACATTTAACTAAATTCTTCTTTCTTGAGCCATATGCTATGTTGCTGACACTTGGGGTACTTCCTGTTTTTAAAATATGTTTTCATTGCTCTTCCTGGATCTAGTTTATTTTTCCAGGTATGGTAGGTGACACTAATGAAATTTACACTACAGTGAAATATTTCATAAATGCCTGTTTCATCATGTACCATAGATATCTTAAACTGTTCTAGGAGAGAAGAAGAATGGAGATCAGCTGGGGGGAGGTGTCGGAGTGGGGAGATTGACTGATGAGAAATTCCTTCCTTTCTTCCTGAAGCAAAAAAACCAAACTGCTTTTTCCCTTTCATGATACTGTATCTTTCATAAAATGTTGCCAGTGCTACTGAGATTTATTTACTTATTTATCTATTTATTTGTTTTAGCGCAGTGCAAGATGAAATGGTAAAAATATAACTGAAGTTAACCCTAATTTAGTTGTTAGAATTACAAAGGATTTTTCTTACATTGATGGGCTCACCTCTATCAGAATTATTTTATAAATTCAGTGATTATTTTTATCTGTCTTTGACTTAAAGATCTTGAAACCTTGTGCAATGATGATATTTGAGAAGTTGCAGATAATCCACTATTTTGACAAATGTATGTGTATATAGAGAGGGTGTCAGTGATGTTTCTAAATGGCATGGCTAACAAAAAGAAATATTTCTGTTTTGAATCAAATATTCAGTAACATTGTGATTTTGTGATTAATGCTGGGTATCTATTGAACTGTGGTCCCCAAACTTTTTTGACCCATAGGCAACAGCATTGAACAAATACTGTGCTGTGAACTGCTTCATGCTTCTTGACATTTTATGTGGCTATGAGCAACACTAGAGGAATTTCCCTTTGCCTGTGTTAGATCACAGAACTGTTGTGTAAAGGTGAAGTAAATGTTTGCATGTGGGTCATTCTGGAGTTTAACTCTGGAATACTTAGCAGTATTTGTGCATCAGATAGTCTGTGATAACCTAAGATGTTTCAGGGCCTGTATGTAAATTTGTTGATAAATGCCACTCTTAAATTGTGCAAGGCACTGACTTACATGTTCGTCCTGGTTTCTGCTGGGATAGAGTTAATTTTCTTCTTAGTAGCTGGTACAGTGTGTTTTGGATTTAGTGTGAGAATAATGTTGATAACACACTAATGTTTTAGTTGTTGATAAGTAGTGCTTATCCTAAGTTAAGGATTTTTTGGTTTCCCATGCTCTGCCAGCAAGCAGGTGTTCAAGAAGCTGGGAGGGACCGTAGCCAGGACAGCTGACCTGAACTAGCTAAAGGGATATTCCATATCATAGAACGTCATGTACAGTATATAGATGGGGGGGGAGAGTTGGCCAGGAGGGGCAGATCACTGCTCAGGCATCCATCAGAGGGGAGTGAGCAGTTGCATTGTGCATCACTTGTCTTTTCTTGGGTTTCATCTCTTTTTAAAAAATTATATTCATTATTGTTATTATTATTATTATAATATTTCATTTTACTTCAGTTATCGAATAGTTCTTTTCTCAATCCATGAGTTACTTTTTGTTTTTTGATTCTCTTCCCTGTCCCATTGGGAGGGGGGGAGTGAGCAAGCGGCTGTGTGGTGTCTAGTTACTGGCTGGGGTTAAACCACAACAGTGTTGCACAAAAATGCTAAAAGAAAAATCTAGCTTGCAAGTTGTTTAATAAATTGACAACACCCATACCTTATCTCTTCTTTGGTTAATTTGTGCCCGTTTCTTGACTATAAATGTTAATACGCTGATCTGAGTTTGATTCTTAAACAGGTTAAAAATGGTGGGGGAGAAGCAGACACACACCCCTGCAAGCCCCAAGGAAATATGCCTAATAAATCAGATTGAAGGCAAAATAGCCATAAAATCATTAAAATATTCCTGGGGAAAAATATACTTAATTTATGTAACTCATGTATTTAAAACATCTGGAAAACTGTCTTGCTGTGTGCTGAATAGATTGAAAATAAGACCACAATTTAGTACAAACTCTAAAATACAAATGACATCAGTAATTTTGGGTATTAGAAAATACCTTGATTTGTGATTTCATAATAAAGTTTGCAAGTTTCTGCCCATTCACCTTCATGTGTCTCATTCCAATTTTACTAACTTAACTTAAAGAATGTCAGGTTGCAGTCTCTTTAAAATTAGGGTCCAGAATTTACGTGTATATTAAAACCAGATGAAGCCTTTCATGTGTTTCACACTGCTCTTAGTAAGCAGGGTTTTGAACTCTGTAAAGGCAATCCTTAGGAACCCAGATGTTTTTTCTTTCTTACTTTATGTCTGAGTCTAAATGAAAATGTATATTAGGCTTCCCTCATTGTTAATCTCAGCCTATCTCATCAAGTTTCCTTCTACTCTACTTTATCCTGGGAAAATAGAAGGGTTTTTTTATCCATCTTCTTTGTCCTCTTGAGCTCCTTTACTGTCAGTGTTATTTTAGTCACTAAACTGACTATTGGTTTTGTTGGTCATGTTTACTCGGCTTTTCTTGCAGATATGAAAATGGATCAGCATATTATCATGAAGATGATCGTGAAGGTCTCCTAAAAATCTGTCGACTTGTTATTCACACACGCTATGAAGATTATACAATAGAAGGATTTAACGTGCTATATACTAAGCAGCCTGTCATATACATTAGTTCTGCAGCTAGAACAGGCTTGGGCCAAGCTCTCTGCAATCAGGTAAAGTGAATCAGTTGGGGTTTTAGCTGCAAGTAGAACCTACCTGGCTTCATATTGCCTACTTGAAATTTAGATTTTAGAAATATATTCAGACTTTTCCTGCAGGAGACTGGTACTTGCAGTACAGTCTGGTACAGTACTGGCAGCAGTCTTGTAAATTGGTTTGGACCAATGGAAGTTTTCCTTTAGATCCATGTGTCTGCCTCGAACTTCCACTGTTAGAAGTGAAGCTTCTTTGAGATTTTTTCCAATGCTACTGTATTGACTGAATAAATGTATCCCCAAGCAAGCTGAGCAGGCTGTCTCTGCAGCTTTCCTGTTCCTTCCACACATTTACTTGATCAGTGTTCTTCATGAGCAGATTCCCTTCATCCTTGTCTCTTCTTTGCCTTTCTATGGACATAGTAGATTTTTATAGTTTATAAAATTATATATGTTTCTAAGACTTAGGATGATGTGTCTGCCTGTTGAAACACAGCATGAAAAGGGGCGTTTTGAAGAATGAGGACTGAGCTTTGGCCTCAAAAACACTGATTTTAGGAAAAGCATAACTTTGATTTTGAAAACTTACTTATTTTTCCTCATGGAAGAAACAATAGCAATGTGACTAAACAGCAGCACAACAGGGGGTGGGAGGGGAAGGGAGTCTAAGGTGAAACCATACTTTGATGCCAGCCAAACCTCAGAAACCAAACTTTGATGCCAGCCAAATATCTGCAAGCTAGTAATACAAAAATGTTATACAGTATGTTGGTATTGCGTTAATAATTGTGATTTACAACATAATTATAAAACATAGGCAAAGGAAGCAAAGTCCATACTGGGGGTGACCTCAGTAGCTGTAGTGGACCATATGTTTAAAGTCAAACCATTTGTCTGGAAAAAAATACTTTCAGGTTGCATTTACAGTCTGTGTTTTGCAGCAGTGATAGAGTGGGAGGAAGAGAAATTGTCTGAATATTTCCACTGAAAGGATCTTACATGCTAACTCTTTTTTTTTTTTTTTAAACAAGTGATTGTTTCTAGATTGCATTACGCTTTACATAAGCTGTTGGTCATGGTGAAAAGGACCCGAGCCCAAACATACTGGATTTCCAAACACTGATTTATTGTAAAATTTGGTTGAATGATGCCCCTTTACTCTTATTTTCAATAAACATTATTTTTTTTAAGAGGAAAACAGTTGAGGGAGAAGTAGGCTGTGCTGATCCCATTTCAAAAAGTATTTTTTGGAAAAGCAAGACTACCCCGACAACCCAGGGCTTTAAAGAAACCCCGTTTTTCCTAATTATGTTGTAAAACTTATTGGTTTTGCCAAGTATTTATTTGCATGAATGTTTGTAGACTTAAATAAGCTAATTGAGGCCGTATGCAGACATTACTACTGCATAGTGCACTAGTGATATTTTTCAAACTTAACATGCACTGAAATGAAGAGTCAAGTTCATAGGGCCTTTGTTTTTCAAGTCTTGGGAGAAGGCAGGCAGAGGTACTACCAATAGATTAAAAATGTAGACTGCAGAGAAACAAAAATGGTATCATAGATGGAACTTGTTGTGGCCAAAATTACTTGGGAAGTAGGTGGTAAGAGTCCACTGGAGTAAGCTGGTGTCTTTGGTAAGCCAAGTGTTGCATGTAGTTACTGACCAGAACTTCTTGATACAAGAAATAGTGCTAAGAATCAGTATTTTGGGACCCTTTTGCTTCCGAGTACAGAGTAGATCCTGGTATTAACAGTGGTGCCTTATCTTTTGTTTATACGGTAACCTGTCCACATTAGGTGATCACTGAACTTAGAACTGATAGCATTTTATCTTAGATTTTGAGAAGTAGTGTATATTGTAGAGCAGACAGTTGGAACTGAGTAATCAGATGTTAATTCAATTTCTGTTAAATGAAAGGGTAAAAAAAAAAAAACAGTCTGTAACTGTAGTTCTCTTAATTTGCTGAATCTTCTGTTCAGTGATGAGTATGATCAACTACATTTCACTTGTCTAGTGATCTTCCAAGGTAAAGATCAAAATGTAAGAGACCTTGATTCCCCAGCTCCCCCTATGTTAGTGATGCAAAAGTTATCTGGAATTTGCCTCCGTATCAAAGGAAGAACTTCACTTACCAGCATGAATAGTCAGCTGAACTGTATGATCAAGTAGGCAGATTGTGCTCTACTCAGTAGTAAAGTGACTGTGAACTTCCAGTGGAATGTGGCCCATGCACAAAGCACACGTTTTCTTATAGGATGTATTAATTGCAGGCATGGCCAAGAAAAAGAGGATTGAGTTTCGGCTGTTGTACAGGGCACGAGTATTTCATTAGAAAAATGGAATGCAGTTGACGTGCTAACCAAAAGTTGATTGTTGTTTTTTTCCAATTTCTCCTGTGTTTTCTTTTCTCTGCTATTAATTTGATTCTAAGTTTTAGCAGGAAACTTACTTTTTAACGTAATATCCAGCTTTTTATTGTCATGTTTACTATTTTTTGTCACTCTGTATATTTCTGTGAACACTTGAAATGAGTATGTCTCAGTTGTTGAAATTCCATCATTTTCATTGCAGCTAGGGTTACCCCTTTCTTGCATGTGCCGTGTGCCTTGTAACACTATGTTTGGATCTCAACACCAAATGGTAAGTTTGTCTTCCTTAAGAACTCTTGTGGTGGGTGTTTTGTTTTTTTTTGGTTTTTTTTTTTGGAAAGCCTCGTTAAATGAATGTCAAGTATGTTGTTAGGAAAAGCTTATTGATGTACTTACTTTTTCAACCTCTAAGTCTTCTGTGTTGTAGCTGCGCAAATCATAGATTGAAATCCTCTAAAAAGCCAGCAGCTTGTATCTTGGTCTTGTCAATTGCAAGATATTTTTAATAGCATCTAGTAAGGTGCTTTTTAGTTCCAAGATTTCTAGAATACATGTAGTCATGCGTACATTTACAAACTACATGATGTATGTGTGCTGTGTTTTTCACAAATGTGTTATCTGACCTCCAAGTTATTTTACCTTTGAGAAGAAGAAACTGCAAGCCACAGAGACATTAAGAATGTCTTCCAGAACTTCAGAATGCTGTCCATTTTCACTCTTAATGCATTTTTCCAGTTCAGCAGAAACAATTTTGTATTGTTTGACAAACATATTTATAAATACATATCTTGTTCTTATTGGTAACAGGATGTTGCTTTGTTGGACAGAGTGATTAAAGATGATGTTGAGTCTGGAAAACTGCCTTTGTTGCTTGTGGCCAATGCTGGTAAGTGCTGTGGACAAACAATAACAAAAAAAGCATGCTATTTCATGAATATATATAAAATCCAAAATAAAAAGATACTTTGTTAAACAGCTTAGTGATTGTATGTCAGGAAATATCAGGAAGTATCTTTATGACCACACAATAATTATCTGTCCAGAGGGAGTTCTAACTGATTTGAAGTTGAATTGTACTGCTACGGTTTTGCTTATGTCAGTTGATGGATTAATATGACTAGAACTTATTTTAGTGAGTGCAAATCTCTTGTTGAAAATCAGTTTCGCATTAACACTTCAGAATTTTTTGATGGGTGTGCCATCAACTTTAGCTTTCAAAACTATATTTTTTTCTTCTAGTTAATTAAAAAGAACTGCTTATGAGCAAAGTTTGTTTTAAGTACAAATGAATGAGGTGACTGTTACTTGCTTTGGACTTGGAAAAATATCTGAGATGTTAATTTTGGTTTAGTTTCCTTTAGTTGAGGTCATACATTGAATGTATTAAAAAGTCTGCATTTCTTATCTGAGGCTGCTGAGTCTTTTATTGCCTAGGATGTCTAATTTTCTAAGTATTTTTAACATATTGACAAACAAAACAAGTATCTCTATTTTTTTTTGTTTAGAATTCCAGTTACTCATAAGTCATGATGAACCAGATATGAATATTGTGTAGTGGGCTCTTTTTAAATACCTTCTTTCCTGCTCTTGTGTGACTTCTTTGACAACAGTACAAGAGGTCCTCTTATGTAGAGTCCTAATTTGCGTGCTTATCCTTTGTCATTGCCTTTTTTCCTTTTCAACAAAGGGACACCAGGTGCTGGGCACACAGATAAACTTGGCCGACTGAAGGAACTTTGTGAGCAGTATAATATGTGGCTCCATGTAGAAGGGTACGAAACTCGAAATTTATTTCAGTATAACGGTATCCATTAACTAATGGACAGCACATAATTTTACAGCTAACCAGAGAGTCATAGGACCATCTTTATTTTTGTCATATTAAGCATTTTATATGGTTATAATTTTGTCACTGTATGACATATGAATTGTTTTACATATGCAGGAATAATTAACTGGAGTGGTTATTTCAGCATAGGTTAGTCGTTACTTTTACTCAGATGGTAATCTTATCTGCCCTTGCTTTGAAGAGCTTGGAGCATAAATAAAAAGACCTTATAGAACAAGTCAGGGGAGACATTATACAGTGAGAATTGAGAATGAGGAAGGAGAATGAACTGAGCGTGGAAGAGATGACACTTTAATGAAGGTTGTCAAGACGACTGCTGCAAGTAAAATGTGCAACATAACTGGGAGGAGGATTAAACCAAGAGGAAAAGAAATTGCAAGAACTTAGACAATGTTAATGAAGACTCCAGTGCTCTAAGACTAATTTTTTTGAGCCTGGAGTAGAAACTTTTTTTCTCCTGATACTTCATTGTATAGTGTTATATTTGCATGCTATTTATTTCTGATCCCAGATTGATGCTGAATTATGGGTAAGACTTTGGGGAATGATTTCCCCAAAGGTTGGACTGAAACATTTTTAGATTAAAATGGATTTTTACTTTTGGGTTTTCAATCTTGGAAGACCATGTAGCAACATCTACTGCATTGTTAATAAAAAATATAAGAACAAAAATTACTTCCCTTTACGCATCACCATGAAATATTTAAACTGAAAATTAAAATGTTATCTCTTAATAAATATTTGGTATGTGCTAAAACCACTTTCTTTTTCTAGTGTGAATTTGGCAACTTTGGCTTTGGGTTATGTCTCCTCTTCTGTACTGGTATGTTTTACTACATCTAGAAACTTTAATAATGTGCTCTAGATTTTAAGGTCAAGATCTAATAAAAATATATATGGCTTATATTCTGCTTATTGTAATAAACTTCAGGCTGCTACAAAATGTGACAGCATGACTCTTACTCTGGGTTCCTGGCTGGGTCTTCCGGCTGTACCTGCAGTGACACTCTACAGACATGAGGATCCATCTTTGGTATGTCCAGCTTCTCAGGCATTGTTCTTAAGATCTTGAAACTTTAATTTTGATCATGGTATAGTGACTTGTTCTTAATAAGCATCTAAATTATAATTTGCAAAAGCTCCCCTATTTAAGCTGTGACATACTCCATAAGCTGGCAAAAATGGAATAATTGAAGAGAGGTTAATAGTGGTTTGTTTATTGTTTATTTTCCTCTTTAGTCCTTAGCAGCTGGGCTGACATCGAGTCAGCCTGTAGAGAAGCTCCGTGCCCTGCCACTGTGGCTCTCCTTGCAGTACCTGGGCCATGATGGGATTGTGGAGAGGATAAAGCATGCCTCACAACTAGTAAGCAACAGCTTGTTGGCACATTGTTTATGGATACTTTGCTTCTTTGAGTATGGGTTGGAGACTGTTCTTAAGAATCCTCACCATCTAATTTAACGGTTTGAGTCTCCAAGCAGAAACAAAGTTCAGATAGCAACAACAGTACAAGCAATATCCAGATGGCTATCAGAGAACACTATTATACTTAGGACTTTTTTTATAATAGCTGTTAATATATCTTTTTTGACTGTTGTGATGCACTGTAGAAGAATCAACGAAAAGTACTGTAGTTGTTGACAGTATAGCATATTGGTTTGTATTGTGTTACAAATTACGAAAGCAGAGTAGAGTGTTTGGGAGAGGGATGTGCTTTTACTATTAGATGGTATATTTTATTAGGCTTTTTTAATGAGAAATACTTAATCTTTGTCCTTTCTAAACAGTGAAGTAACATAATCACTTCCTTTATTTTGTCACTTCTCTATTTTAACTATTTTGCTTGAAAACTGTTCAGACAAAGACTTTCTTATTTTCCTACTCTACTTGGCATCATATTGTTTTAAGTGATAGTAAGTTATAAATGCCTGACAAAAAGGACTTCAAAAGATTTCTTCAGAAACAGTGGCAAGTGCACTATTTTTGCAGTTGAGTCCTTAGCCTAGTAAAAATTAAGGTCCAATATAATGTGTTAGTTTAAAAATGCAGTGTTTGTATGCAAAACATTTTTCCTTAAAGGTACAGCACTTAGAAAAAATTCGAAGAAGGGCAAAAGGGAAATGGAAATTTTCTGTAATGGTTAGTGAAGAAGCTATTGGCACGACAGACCTGAAAGAGTGACAAAGTATCATTAGTCATTAAGATTTTGTGGCATCTAAGATTGATCTTAGCTTTTATAATAGTCTATTAATAGTCTTAAACCACAATGTAAGAATGTCTTTTCTAATGAAAATAATTTAGAAAGCCATCATAACCACTTCCTATGGTAGCTTTGAGAAAATTAACTGTTCTGCTACACACTGTGCTTCAGTTAGTCAATGGATTTGTAGTATCTCTGGAACTTTGTCGATAAATACACCAAGACTTTATTTTAATGAAAATAGCTTTGTAGTCAGTGTTTTACTAAAAATAGAAAAAAATTTTTCCATTGCATTCTAAATTTACAAGAAAGAACTGGATGAATCTCTGACACAGCGTAGGGGTTTGTTCAGAAATAGAAATTATAGTAGTGAATATTTAATATTTTTCAGAATAGTTTTCAACTTCTAAAACTGTGTGTTTGTCTCTTCCTTTTGTTTCCCTTCTGCTGTGGTGTTTTAGAGTCAAAGGTTGCTGGAAAACTTGAAAAACCTGGATTTCATTAAAACTTCGGTACAGTCTACATTTAATACTTCGGTTGTATAGCTTAATCTTTGCTTATTAAATGATAAGAATAACTTTGATTTAAAAAAATATTTAAAAATATTACTTAAATCATAGTCATTGTTTTGAAGATGCTTGGTATCTTTCTAATTAAGTTCTGGTATTCAATGAAATTGTGTGGCTTGCTTGTGTGTGACCTCCAGATTGTGTTTGTTCCATTGCTCTGTACTCATGCACTCAGTGGAGCTGACAGAACAACATCCAGAAATTGTTTCCAGAGGTTGTCTTAATTCCATTTAAAATGTGGATTTGTTCAGTAATACATTTATGAAACCAGTTTCCGTAAGCCTCTCTAATAGATTCTGGCTGCATCTCACACTGCTGTTGAGATGATACTGTGAACCCTGTGAAATTGTACACAAAAATTATCCCAGCTTTGGTTTTTACACAAGAAATAGTTTTAGAAATTACATCTAATGTATTCATTCCAAATTCAGTTTCTGTGAAATGTCCTGTTCAATAGGGTTTGGTGGTTTTACTCCTCCCCCCCGCCTTGTAATTGGCACTCAATGTATAGAAAATATATTCAGCTTAGTTTTCTGGGGCAATAGATAATTTATGGATCACTGAGTGACAACAACCATTTATGTAAAAACTGTTTTTCAAAGAGTATTAGTGGCTGTCCTGGTTTCAGCTGGGATAGAGTTAACTGTCTTCCCAGTAGCTGGTACAGTGCTATGTTTTGAGTTCGGTATGTGAAGAATGTTGATAACACTGATGTTTTCAGTTCTTGCTAAGTAGTGTTTAGACTATAGTCAAGGATTTTTCAGCTTCTCATGCCCAGCCAGCGAGAAAGCTGGAGGGGCACAAGAAGTTGGCACAGGACACAGCCAGGGCAGCTGACCCAAACTGGCCAACGGGGTATTTCATACCATGGGATGTCAAGTCTAGTATAGGAACTGGGGGGAGTGGGGGCGGGGAATCGCCGCTTGGGGACTGGCTGGGTGTCAATCGGTGGGTGGTGAGCAATTGCCCTGCGCATCATTTGTACATTCCAATCCTTTTATTATTACTGTTGTCATTTTATTAGTGTTATCATTATCATTATTAATTTTTTCTTTTCTGTTCTATTAAACCGTTGTTATCTCAACCCACGAGTTTTACTTCTCTTCCCAATTTTCTCCCCCATCCCACTGGGTGGAGGGGGAGTGAGTGAGCAACTGCATGGCGCTTAGTTGCTGGCTGGGGTTAAACCATGACAGTGGCCTTGGGAGTTCAAGTTGGTGTAGCACTTCCCCCTTCTACTTAAATAAATCTTCCATTTTTAGGATTGTGAAACGTAGCCTCAGATTGCTTCCAGAAGTTGCCCAGTCCGTTTCTCCTATCCATAAAGCAGGATCATTTATAATCTTGTTATTCCTGCTGGAACTTTCTTGATGTTCTCCAATGATTCTGGGGCAATTTCCAAGAGATTTTTTTTTTTATGTTAATATTTGAAAATACTTAAAGCTAAATGAACTGTTTAGTACAATATATTTGCTAATGAATATGCTTAGGTGTCTTGTTTTATAGTGCCCAATTTTTAATTATGCATACTCTAAATCAATACAATTCTGCTTTAACTGAATAATGATTTACTTTCCTGAGTTTACAGATATGTTTACTTGCACTCCTGGAGTTAAATTGTAATACTGAGATAGTGTGAATGTTGTTTTGATGGCAGTAACAAAATAATCTGCTTTGCTCAGCAGTCTAGGGAATTATACACAGTGTTAAATTTTTAAAAAATACGTGAAAATATATCTAATTTTTTTTTTTTAAGGTTGAAGATGAACTGAGTTCACCAGTGGTGGTTTTCAAGTTCTTCCGGGAATATTCAAATAGAGGTATGCGATTTATTTAAAAACAAACCCAAGAAACCCTCTTTATAGTTTTTTTAAGCTACTAATTCGTAAAATTAATTTGGTGAGGTTAATGTTACGTAGTGCAATTCTCTTGTGTAACATGCTTTTAAAAAGGTTGTGAATGCTGGTCATAATCTAGTGATAGAATCCATACATGTGATAGCTTCTTTTTTTAGACAGACTGCAGTGTTTTAAATTTTCATAACAAGTCATTTTCTGCCTTCCTGAGTGAGGAGAGATTTGCATATGATTTTGATCGTGAGAGCAGATGATGGAAGTCTCATAAGCTGCGAGCTGTGTTTGAGTGTATTGATGGAGGAGCATCTTCCTTGGTTTTGTTCAGGCTTCCTGTTCCTTTTAAACTTTTAGTGGCTAGTTGCAAGAACCATGTTTCTCTGTTTTGCTTATTACACTTGCTGTTGCAATAGTTTTAAAAATAGCAGAACACGTTAGGAACAGCTCTGGAAATACTGTTGTGGGTACACAGTAGCCATGCCACATGTGGCTCTGAGCAGAACGTCCTTACTTAGGTGTACTCTCCAAGAAAGAGGATTTTTGTTCTCAGCTACAACAGAGGATGTTGTGCTGTTCGTGTGTGCACACTCAGAGGGTGGGGACATGTCCAGCTGGGATGAGGCAAAAGACTTCTAGAAAACTTCGTAGTGTTGTTATGAGTGTTAATTTTAATTTTCTGTGAATTTTTTGTGTTGGGCATGGAGGAGGATTGTTTTTGGTTTTAATCTAATTAGTGGTTGCACTCACAAAGTAAACCTATTCATCCAGGTCTAGTGACTTGGTGGATGCATTTATTTGAAAAGCTTTGCTAGGGAGAAGTCACCCACCTGATTTATAAGGATTTAAGATGTTTGGCCATTTCTGCATGTTTTGTGTGTATAATGGACTCTTTAAATACTTAGTATTATTTTAGTGTGGTTTAAAACAAAAAGTAATCATTAAAACTTAATTAAAAAAGTAGCCGAATGCATCAAATTAAATATTGCAGCCTGCTGTGACAGGATTTTGCTTTGTGAAAACATAGTTTTTATTTCCATTGGGGCATTTGAACCTCAAAACTGAGAGAAGTATTTTATTGGTTGTTTTTAAAACTAGTATATTCAACTCTCTGTTTTACTTCTAGTATTTGTCATGTTCAACACACCTTTAAAAAAAAAAAATCCTTGCTAGTCTGCTTGAGGTCCAGTACATCATGTAGATGTGTTACATTACCTAGGAAATGTAATTGTCTTTTATCTAAATTTTAGGTTGCCTTTTGTTTAATTAAGTAAATAAAAATCCACTTCTGTGATTCTTATATCTTTGGATTCAGATCAAACCTCACATGCTGCACAGGCCTCAACTATTCAGCACCCCATAATAAGCAACGAAAGATACATTTATGACACTTTCAATCAGTGGGTAAGAATGGATGCTTTTTCTCTTTAGGAAAAAAGAAGTGATAGGGGAATGTTTCCAGGGGTTCATCAGTAATTATAAGACCTTTGGTAGACTAGTCTGGTAGTTATTATTGATCTCGTATCCTCTGCAAAACTAGTGGGCGCTTTGGATTTAAAAGATGAATTTGCTCTGAAGCAAAGTTGCTTTCATGTTTCTGATTATTTTACATGTGTAATTACTACTGAAATTATTACTGCATCTTAAGCTGTTCGTAGTGGATTTTTTTCTTTGGTCTTGTGGGAATACATGAAAACTTTAGAACTCTTTTTAATCAGCTAGATACTTCATTGATGATGTCTGTGTATTCATGAATAACCAGTCTTTCTTTTCCAGATCTTAAGAGAATTAATTCTAGAAACATGTGCTTTCAGAGAGCTGAGCACATAACTGTTTTGGATCAATTGTGTAGTAATTATGGCATCCTTAATGACAGTGACAATTTTGCAGAAACTTCTGACTTGTAACACTTGTAGCTTACCCTGAATTTTCATTATTTTAAGTATATGTCCAACTTTGTCGTATCACCAGCAAGCTGAAGCATTTTGTCATAAGAAGTGATTTTGAGAAATACAGAAAATGGTGTTTAGTGTGTGGTTCCCCTTAACGGTGGGAAGAGTCTAGCCTGAGTCAGCGACTGCAGGAGGTCACGCTCTGTGTGTTTTTTTTTTTTAACTGCGCCTTATCCCTTCAGCTAGGAGAGCAGCTGGCACAGCTGGTCCCTGCCAGTGGAGTTGATGTGGTAGAACTGGAAGATGAAGGCACGTGTGTGCGTTTTAGCCCACTAATGACTTCTGCAGGTAACATTCACTTAATTTAGCCACTTGTAAAAACTGAGACTTGCTATAGAATTGTACAACAATCTCCTGGTGTAAAAGCAGATATACTCAAGAAACTCTTTAGTATATTCTATGGTGAGGATTTTCTTACAAACAAAACAAAACTATCTCGGCTTTATCATTCTGCTGCGCCATGGCAATGGGTGCATTAGTGGTAGCTCAGCTGTTGTGGGTGACATTGCCTCACCACCTCTGCAGAGAAAGACTTTTACTGATTATTTCTTAAATTCACCAGGAAAAACAAGGGGAGAAGCTCTTTGTTTCTAACAGTTATAAACAAAATATGAAGGATAAATCATCCCTACCTTTTCTCCTCTCGGTTGCTCAACCCAAGATGCTTTACCTTTCTACAGAGGTGTTGCAACACTGAAATGGTGCTTGTGTTCAAAATATTGCTACTTAACTAGAAGAATTGTTTACTAAACCTCGAGGTTTTTCTATAATTACTGATGGGGGGGTTGGGCATAAAAATCTGTGTTTTGGAAAGTGTCTTAAATTTCATGTTTAAGCCAGCACCGTATATGTACTTTGTTTAGACTTGGCAGATGCACAGAGCAACCTGCAGGGGCTCGGGGTGATGCATGGTATCTCCTTTTAGATTGTGTGGGAAGAGTGGCTTAGGCTATCAAAACACCTGATGCTGACATGAGAGGATCCTGGTGTATGCAGAAAAGTAGATTTTAGAATAAAATTACTTGATGATGCTGTGATGTTTTGTTTGTTTTGTTTTAAACCAGCATGGAAGCTAATTCATGATCTGTTAGGCTATGGGAAGAGGCATTTTTCTGCTGCTAGCTACTGATGTAATGAAAATGGGTATTGTCCTCATTAATTTGTAACATCAGAAAATCCTTTTTATTGATCTTACTTTTTATGAAATCCTTAGCTCTCTCCACTTTGGTGTATCAGTGGATAGATAACTGAAGGATAAACACTGTTTTATATAGATCAAGATATTTCAATACTGTCTGTAAATTGTATTTATGATTGACTTACGGAGTGGCTTCTTTACAGATTACTTAATTCAGACATCTATTTGATGTCTGTTCACTTTTATCACATACTAACACATCAGTTCTTTAGTTTTAGGAACTGAAATACAAGATGTTGATCAGTTAGTAGACTGCTTGAAAATGAAGATACCAGTATTGACAAGTACACTGCAACTGAGAGAGGAATTTGAGCAAGAAGTGAGAAGAACAGTAGGCCTGTTGTATGTTGAAGATCTTAGTTGGCCAGGATTAGGTGTTGTAAGGTAAATTTTTCAATATTTTCTTCATTATATATTTGGACAGGCTGTGCGTTAACAGAAAGGAATATGTGGTCTTTTCAGTGGTGATATGAATGTATTGTTTACTGATTATTATCTGGCTTTGCACTCAGTTGAAGCTTTTGAGTGCTTTTTAAAAAAATTACCCTTTTAATGCTGTTTACTTTGATTATTTTTTTTAAAGAAAAGCCGAAGAGCTGTTTTAACAAAATTAGGGTAATGGTTTTAATATTGGAGGCAGTGTGTGGATCTGTTAGATGGATATGTAATATACAAGTGCATCTTACTGTATTTAGCCAAGCATAACTTACTTTTTTATCTATCATGGGATTCACTTATATACTGAATACCATGTCAAAAAACCTTTCAATTGTCTGTTCTGATCTTCTGATACAGTCTTCTGGGAAGGATTCTGCATAGTCAAAATAGTTGAAATATGATCAGTATATTACCTAGAAATGTGTTGTGTTCAGTGAAGTTTGCAGCACAAGCTCGCCCCACCCCAAAATCTCTGATTACAAATGCCAATAAATGTGTTGATCTCAGCTATAATGTTCTGAGATTTTTGGTTCATAAAATAGAGAAGTTTGTAGAAACATGCTAAATGTGTCTATATTTTCATACGTACTGTAAAGTGAAATTATCTTCTGGCTTGGTTTGAAGATACAACTATCACAGTGATGGGAAGAATGATGACAAACAAGAAAAAGAACTAGAAAAAATCAATACAGAACTTCTGAAAAAATTAAATGAGCTGGAGTCGGATCTCACTTTTTCTTTGGGTAACTGCACTATTTAAAAAAACTTCTGTTCAAGCTAATAGTCATTTTACTGGCTGTGTTATAATGGTTCAGTAGGTCATTTGTACATAGGTCGTTATAATGCAAAATTACACTGCTGTGTATATGGTTATTGTAGAAACAACATCTGGAACTTTGTTTCCTCCTCACCCCTGCTTCAGTGGGTAAATGTTCAGCAGGGTGAGCAAGGCGCACTGTTCTCAGAAATACCTGTGAAAATGGACTTCTGAGCAACTAGACCAAAAAGTGCTTCCTTGTCAGAAAGAATAAAAGCTGCAGTGTTCCTCTTTGTAAATTGAGCCTTCTCAGTTAGTGCTGTATTTAATGAAAAGCAGATCTCATTCAAAACCCACTGACGAGTTCACTGCTTTCTGTGGCTAGATTAAAAGCTTCAGATGACTTTAATGATAATTAGCAGCACTTTCCTATTTACATAGTGCCACATTATAGCTGAAATAATAGGAATTTGCTTACTCAGAACTCTGATCTTTTTCTAGTCAGCTTTCAAAAATTAAGTGCCCTAGAACTGTGGAACCAAGTAATTCTGTAAATGAATTTGAAACATGTTCAACACTGATACTAATTATAAAACTGTTTTTCTTGTTTCGATGTTGTTTTTTCTTCTCTCTTTGAAAACTCACAGTGCTGAGCTTTTTTAGTCTGCATAATTTATACCTATGCAGATACTGCTTTTAATTACCCAAGTGTGTGGGGGGGTATGTATTAGGATTTCCAGACTTGCAAGCATGAGTGTTGCACCTATTGTGAGAATGCATTTTTGTATGTCAAAAGACTTGATTCTCCCTCTGTTCACAGGTCCGGAGTTTGGAGGGCAGAAGAACTGTGTTTATATTGGCATGGTAACTGAGGATCTGGATGTGTCGGAGTTAGTTGAAACTATTGCAGCAACAGGCAGAGAAATTGAAGAAAATTCACGAGTATGTATTAATAAATCACAGAGCATTTCAGCACCTTTTATTTTTTCCTTTCCATATTGGCTTCAGGACATGGTTTGGTTCTTCGTGAAGGTAAAAATTGTACTTTCCCGCAACAAACTATTAATTACTGTGGAAGCAATAATCTGTGTCCACATAAGGAGAACTTTTGTTACAGGATTATAATGTTCTGAGGATGTCTTGATTTAAGTTCATGGTCCTGTGTTCAGGACTTCTAGTGAAAAACTTCAGTAGTACTGAAATAGGCTCATTTTATCACTAAAATTTAAGCTGTCAAAAAAAAAAACCACCCAAACCCAACCCAAAACCAAAAGGGAAGGTGGCTGATTGCAAGCTGGTGTTTCTCATCATGTGATGGGATTGAGATGATTGTTTATATACCAGCTTTAAGATAAGACTGTGCCCTAAAATGTGTGAAAAAATTTACATTGGTGGCTTAAAAATGGAAATTACAAATTACCTATTGAAGTAATAAAGCTGATGATGCAACTCCTTTTTGTAAAAGCATTTATCTGATCAGAGTTCTCCAAATGTTCTCTAAAGTAGAATTGCTAAATGACCTGCATCAGAAACAAATGTCTGTCCTTTTCATTCCTCTAGTGTTGGGCAGTTAATTTCCTCACCTAAAAAATAAATAAAACTTCAGAAACCCTTTGCCTATTGCTGCCTGTGGGAATATGTTGATTTTGGCAATGAAATTTTTTCTAGCAGCGTTTTCTGGAGATGTTCTGCCTGCTCTTGACTTCCTGTGCTGCTTTGGGGGTGAGATGAAAGATGGTTTACCTGTAGAGTACCTTCAGTTTTTTAACTATTGTAGTTGAGAGATTAGGAACCAAATGTTGGAATATGGGCCACTCTGATCCTGAAGCTTCTAGGGAGGAATAAAGAGTAGTGGAGGACTCAGAAAGGTGCAGTCCTTGGAACCAGCTATAAGAAAACTGAGGTACTGAAAGGATCTTACACCATTTGATCCAAAACCGAGAAGCAGAACCAATCTGTGAGAATGACACTTGCATCATTTAGACACATGATGTTTAGTACAAAGGGGAAGCTTTTAGAAAAAAACTGCTCCAGTATCAGCAAGCCCTTAAGACATACAGATAAGTATGCTAAAAGGCAGAACCAAAATTTAAGACAAACATCTTGACTGGACCAGAGAATGCAGTGGTTCTTCCTTATACTCTAAATGCAACCCCTTCTGTAGTCAGTACCTTGGGGTATTTAGCTTGCTGTGGTGGTGAATTCCTGGCTTGCCTCTCCCCCAAGGAAGAGGAGCAGCTGCCTCTTTTTCCTTTGTTTTTATTAACCAACAGTAACTCAAATTTTTTATATTGTGGAGGAAGTGCCTGTCATCTAGGCCTTGTGTAATAATAAAACCCATATTAAGTTATGGAAATTGGCATTTCTCTTGCACAAGACAAAACTGTGACTTTGTTTTTTTGATCTCGTGGGTTTGTTCTTTTACTGCCCCTACAGCTCTCCCAGTAAGCTGCTTGTCCTTTGCAGTGTAAAACATCACTGATGCTGGCATAGGATGCCACAGGGATCAGAATGGCAGTCGTATATTAAATTTGAAAACCAAAGTTGAACCTAGATTGACACATACCTGGTTAGGCTTACTGTGAGGCTGGCTTAAGTCGTGGGTACTTCTAGAAACCAAAATGTACTCCATGAACCTAAAAACTCCTCCCAGTCAGATTCAGCATCTGATGAACTAAGCAGATGTGCTAAGCAGATCTTTGAATAATTTGGGTTGCAGGCTCATTTCTAAGTAGAAGAAACTACGTACCATTCCTGTTTAAAATGACATTCTGTCCTCTGGGTATATCTTTTAAAAATCCTGCAGTCAACCTGTACATTCTTTAATTTAGGTATAACGAAATAGTGATTGTCAAATACTGTCTTAAATTAGAAAAATATCTGACTACCATGATTATATCCTCAAAACCTGAACTAAAAAGACAATTTCAAGTCGGAGTAATATATGTAATAATACAATTTCTGGTTTTTATTAGCTGTTGGAAAACATGACGGAAGTCGTTAGAAAAGGGATACAGGAAGCACAACTTCAGCTTCAGAAAGCAAATGAAGAACGACTTCTGGAAGAGGTAAGGCTATAAACATTAGTTGTCTAGGTAACTTGAAATAACTTGTCACAACACAGGTAGCTTGCTCACCAGCCAGTGTTTGATTGTGTGCTTTGCAGGGACTGCTACGACAAATACCTGTAGTAGGCTCTGTGCTGAACTGGTTTTCTCCATTCCAAGCCTCACCAAAGGGAAGAACATTTAATTTAACAGCAGGTAGGACTCAGTGCATCCACAGCCACTTTATGCTGTTGTCAGAACCGTTCCAATTTTATACTAAAATTGCAACACGCTTTTTTGTGCCGATTTGATCGTGAGTGACATAATCCACCCTCAGGATGTAAAAGAACACGCTCTTCACTATTTCTGTAACACCCAGTAAGACAATCTGCTAACCTCACTTGTACAGTTTACATTTTATTCTTGCATGCTGAGCCACATTAAAAAAGCTGTATTAGACGTGGGCATTTATTAACAGAGGGATAATTTCTGTGACTTTTGGCTACGTATGCTGCAAGAGTTTGGTGTTTATGCTGTGTTTATTAATATGTAAGCTAGCAGGGTAGCTCAGGTCTTAGAACATTGCTTTGCCATGTATGTGCACATGCATCCTCTTGAGTGTGCTTGCAAAGTGGCACTCGGATGTTCTGCTGTGCTACTAGAACTTGATGTCTCTGTCTGAAATCCTGATTTGAGCTATCATCTGCCTACTGCCACACTGATAAAGTACTAGTTTGCATGCTAAATAGTGCAATGTCTGACAAGGACAGGCTGAAACTAGCCGAGGACTAGCGTGAACTGGGCTTTGTGGGAGACAGGAACGAATGGAATATTACAACGTAAAGACTATTATTTTACTCATATATTTGTAATTCAAGTCTGTTGACATGAAAAGAGCGGTCTATAGCTTTTACATCATTAAGACTGATGTACTAATGTAATACTTTCTGCAATTATAAATTTTCACTGTAAAAATTGCGGCAGAGTCTTAAGAATATTCCTGGACTCGGCAAAGTGTCTGTTGGACCTAGAACAATAGTCCAACTGTCTGTGTGTCTCTGTAAACAGTGAGGAAGGCCTTCTGCTGTATTTGGGATCTTTCTTGCTGATTCTTGATGCACCAGCTGGAAGGCTTTTACAGCAGAGAACAGCAAGGTTTCCTTGGGAATACTTAGTCCCCTCATAGCTAGATACCCCCTCCAAGCGCACTGCTCAATAGCTTGCAGCTGGGAATATGTGAAGTGAGTGTGAGGGGAAACTTAATTCGTCTTTGTAAGTCTCCGCACTCATGTCCCCAGGTACTCGGAAATGGATTACCATCAACTGGCAGTTTCAACTCAACTTAGCAAATGCAGTTGCAGAAATGTGCATTAAAAGAAGATTGTTACATACCTTATGAATACAGATGAACAGAAAACTTGTCTAGTTTGTGCTATATTCAACTTGATACTTTTTTTTTTTAAACCTGTAGGTTCTCTAGAATCTACAGAATCTACATATGTATCAAAAGCCCAAGGAACAGGCACTACTCCACCACCAACTCCTACTTCCAGCCTTGCAAAGCAAAGACTTCCTGGTAAGTTTCTATGTCTTAGTTTTATTTCTAAAACTTGCTAAAACATCCTGCCATCCGAGTTGCATGACACAGAAAGACCAGCACGATTTTCCATCTTTCATAATATCTGGAACTAGAGCTTATCTTCTAGTGCCTTAATTCCACCATTAAAAACCTTAATTTAAACATGGCACAGAACACCACCCCAGTCTGTTTTCTTCCCAAGAATTCTTCTTGAGACTTCAGGAAGTTGTTATCCCATTAACTGACAACTGCCCAGGAAGTCTGGAATCTTCCTCTGGAATATTATGAGGTTATTGAGTTTTAAAAATCAGCAGGCAAACATGCCAAAGGTTTTATTTGAAATAAAAGCATAAACAATGTATAATCATGTATTTGAGCAACTGTATTTCTGTTGCTACCTAATATTTTGTGGACAAAGTCATTCTAAGGTGAAGATCTACTAAATCTATGGCACTTTCTGGGTAGTTGTATTAATAATTAATGTTGATTCGACTGGCAGGAAAACCATAGTTTTAACTCGCCTTTTGAGCTGGCTGGCTTCCACTTGTGATTTTCAGTGCAAATTTCTACCCTAGAATGACTTCACTGTGCATGCAGGCAGCTTGTTTTTCAGCTGACTTTTAACAGTCTCTGTGTACGTAGGATAAAATAAGAGGTGCTATTGCCTTGCATACGTATCTGCATCTGCAAGAAAGTAGGTCTATGGTTAGGGTACAAGTTAGCACTCAAATAAAATCTATTTTTTTGTCATTGTAAAATTCAGATACTTTCTCTGAAACTTAACTTGTGCATAGCACATTTTGTATTTGCTGCCTTCATTGGTACTGTATTCTTCAAACACTTCTACAGGTCAGAAAATTTTTAAAAGGTCTCTAAGAAGTTCTGATGCATTCAGTGAGACCAGTTCAGTCAGCCACTGTGATGATCTGGAGAAGGTGGATCAGAGACCCCCAGCTCTATTCCCTGGCCAAGAGCAGGGATCTTTGGAGACAGAAAAAGCAGAGGAGCAGAAGGAGGTGGCACAGGCAACAAAGACAGACACTGAGGACATTCAAAGTGACAAATTGCCACGTGACTGCACGAAGGTAGAGGAACAAGACGGTCAGAGATAAAATCCAGCCTGTGGCTTTCAGACTGGGCTGAGGAAGCCTGTGCCCTGGGAGGCAGGGTATTAATGAAGCATTTAAAATGTGAACAGTGCCACACACTAGTACAGTAATAACTACTGTAACTTATTAACTGGGATTTTGCACAAATATAAATTCCCCCCATGGGACAGAGATTTGTCTTACCGTACACTTGTTACAGTTGCTTTAATCCTCTCTACATGTTGGTGTCACCAAAGTACTAGTGAAATTTATTAAGTGCTCATAAACATTTGTAAAAACAATTGGCAGTTATCCTTCCTATAGCAATCTAAGCATGATAATAGTTGCTAACTAACCAATCAGCCATACACAGGATTAAGAATACAGTTGCACCCAATAATTGTAAAATGATCTTACTTTATGTTACTACACTTTAAAAAAAAAAAACCTGCCAATTGTTCACCTTTTTTAATATTTAAAATTCAGTTTAGCCTCTCCTTCAAAACATCTACTGAAGTCACACTAGCTCTGTTTTGCTTCTTTTTTTTTTACTTGATGAAGAACATTGCCAAACAGTTGTGGTGCGGTGAGCATTAGGGATGGATGCCTGTGGTGTATATAGGAATCACTGAATAGTACCTTGCCATCAACCATTTTTTCCTGCTGTTGTATGACTTGACCCATTCAGCTAAGGCCCTAGGTCCAGTGGGAACTAAGTTAATGAGTTTTAAGCCTTTTAGAAAGAAATAGTGCCTCTGCATGCCTAAATGGCTTCTTGCTTCTGCCACTGGAAAGAATCACCAATGCACCATTATTTTCCTTTGCACGGCATTTCTAAACCAAATACTATTGAACACATTTATGTAGTGTAACTGGAGTTTTCTGTTGTGTATTTTTAAAGATAGTTGTAGTAAAGCTTGAAAAACCAATACATTTGTGATGGTTTCAACACTTACTTATTTTTTGAATAACAGTAACTTACCTATGGTAGGAATTGTACAGATTCAAAGAAATTATATAGGTTATTTACACTACAGCACAACTTCATAGCGTCTAGGACTACTTAATGCACAAGCAAAGCTTTGGATAAATCAAAAGTAGGAGTCTTCCCTTGCCCCCCTGAATTATCTTAATCACTTTGCTGCAAATTTTGAGAGCCTCTTGTGGAAAGGAGAGCTTTGGAAAAGCTTGCTTTCCTCAAGGTATCTGATTTTTCAGGAAACCCATCCCATCCCTGTAGAACTGGATACAAGCACTGTAGTTTGCTTTGTTGTTTTTTGTTGGGTCTTTTTTTCTCCCCCCAAAAGGTACACATTAACACCGTAACGGCTGTAGTGGTAGCAGGACTGACTTTCATAATCTGAAAAATCTGGGGCTTTTGAATTGTACTGACACCTGATTTGACTCTCAGCTTCTAGATCCTGTGGGGCTGGGATGCCATGAACAAGGTTAATTTTGCTGTTGGGGTAATTTATGAAAATCAGTGCAATTTTTCTAAAGTGCAAAAACAATTAAGTTGACTAGTCTTCCTCATTGGTTTCTTTGGTGCAATGAAGTATGTTAATAAGAGTAATTTGTTGGGGATAAAGTTATCTCCACAAGGATTAATTTTTAATGTTTTTATATTTGGAAGTGTTAAACCAGTAGTTTTGTTGGAATGAGCTTCATTCTTTAGATACTATCTAAATGTTTCAATAAAGATTCTTCAAATTATTACTCTTGAATTAAGTTATTGTTGAAGAATACTTCCCTATGTTTCCATAAGCTTTAAGTGCGTGCAACTTTCACTTTGTGCGGAAAACCATTTTCTAAAGTACACACTGACGTAATGACTTCCCTTCTCAGTCTCTCCACACTGCTGCCTCTCTTTATCTGTGCCATTTAAATTACTGCATTGGAGCAAGAGAACATAAATAAAGCCCAATTCTTACTTCAGATTACCAGTGATTCCTACATAAGTAATGCAGAAAAAGCAAGTTACTTCTGTCAAAATACTTTATTTTGAAAAGCACAGAACAATGGTACTTGTGACCAGCAACATGCTTTCTGCAACACATTGCTGCTCTTGCAAGACTATACTTCCCTAAAGTAGTTGTGGTGTACGGTTCCAGGTTAGATCTTATCAGAACAAACCTGTTCCCACAACCCTTCTTCATTTTTTTTGTAGATGCGAGGTTTCCTGTCAGGAAACAGGGAGCGAGATGGAAATGGATGTTCTTTTAAAAATGTTAATGTAGATCTAATGTGAGAAACAAAGTGGGGTGGCTCAGCCAGGGGCGATGTGGAAAGATTCTGAAAAACAAGATGGTAGCAAGAGCTGCTTGACATCCAGAATACTAAGTTCTCCATTATTCTGCCTTTTAATAAGACACACCCCCCCCCCCCCCCCAGCAGTACACTGGGAAGAGTTTTGACAGACTGTACCCCTCTCTCTACTCAGCTAGAAGGAAAAAAAAGGAAAAAGAAAGGAAAAAAAAAAAAGGTGAGTTTCAGGTACCTGTAAAATCTGCTTATCATCTTGTTCCAACCAGAAATCCACATGTGGGAAAGGCCTCCAGAAATAAGGCCCAATATGTAGTTGTTCCATCTTTGCATCATAAATGTTAGTCAGCTGTAACAACACAGGCAGCCTTAAGAGTTAGACAATGCTTACACAGATGAGAGAGACAGCAAATTCACTTAATCTGGAAGGCCTTAAGCTGCAGCTTCTGTCTTAGACATACTGCATGCCAGCTCAGCCCCACTTCATTCCTACTGCATTAAGATTAACCAATTATTCTGACAAACAAGACATTAAACTGTAACAACACACCCAGAACTGAAAGACACTGCTGGGATTGCTGGGATTATGCCCATGACCTGAATCTCTTTACATAAGTTATCCAGCTGAAAGCTGTAGGGCTAGTCATAACGGCACGTCAAAGAGCTGTACTTCCAAGACAAGGCTTACCCCTTGCACAAGTGGTTTGATCTCCACCATTATCCTTTGCCTCTCCTCTTCCATCTTTCTTATTTGTTTTGCTACTGACAGAACACTACCAAACTAGTTTTTCCTTAAACTTTTAACATTTCATTGCCCCTAACTGGTCTCCCCTTCTGGCAAAAATACCCTTTTTCCCTGTTATTTTTACTCACTGTTGCTCCTGTTAAAACATGGGCTGAACGCAAATCCTCATCCGGCCCTTTTTCTGGGAAGGTTGCAGGGAAGATCTCTGCTGTTTTAACATTCACAGCTGGTAGGAAGTAAGAGTTTAAATACAGAAACAATTAATTCTTACCAAACACTTGTTTAAAATGACAATGTCCCTGACACAACTATGTTGCAGGAACTTTAGAACCCATCAAATACTATACTTGTATTTCTCAGTACCACAGACCCCTTAGCCTGTGATAGCATATTTCTACTTATTTTGCTTTGGCAGCATTTCAATATTCCAGAAGAACATTTGCAGAGATATACTTCAATTAGAAAAAACACAGAATGAACAATGAAAAGAAGGCTGAATTCTAACCCCAAAGGTTAGTACAGTAGCTTGATAGTGACAAAATCATAAGTACAGTTCAGTTAAATGAAAAAAAAATCTGCTTGCATTTGTACACAGCCACTTCCATGTGTGCATCTACCTAACTGTGGTACCACAAGAAAACTTCTATTTCTACCTACACCTCCAACAGCAAAACTTCTAGGACGGGCATTACCTAGTCATTAAAAGCAGCCCATTTACTAATGGCATCTGAAAAGCAATCCAGTTACAAAAAAATAATTAAATTCTAATTTAACTCACCTATTCCATAAATGATTGGAAAGTGAATGTCCTTTTCTTCTCTGTCATTTAGTTCTGTAAGGAAAAAAAAAGGTCAAACTCTTAGGGCTTTGCATTTTTTTCTGGGCAACATTTAGTTGTGTGTGATCAGAGAAGAACAGATCTGATGTTGCATAAAGACAGAAAAAAAACAAGGAAGCCTAAAAGAAATATGGAAAAGAAGGTACAGGTCAATAACACCACCCTTGGAGCCTGGAGTAGAACTCTTTATCTCCTAACAGTGTAGCCAACTCCAGTCCACTGTCACTCCCCTTTCTGCACAGGCACTTTACAAGAAAAAAACCCACAGTGCAAAACTACCATGATACCAAGTTTCAAAGATGTAAGTCACCAATGGCACTGAAATGCAGAGATGATAAGAAATATGACCTGAATGTGATACGAAGAAAAGGAAATTATTTCTTCCTTTATGTGACATCACACACTATGAACTAACTGAATGAGTTTATGAATTCATTTGAACCTGCAGGGAGGCAGGTCTAATAAGCCAGCAGGTCAAAGGTCTCTTAAGTGCCTCTCTCAATTGCCTCTTAAGATATCCATAGACAGGCAGCCACTTTCCATAGGACAACGGTGGCGAAATTACCTGGTAATGATCATGAGTGGTTCTACAACGAGTTGCATTTCAGCAGCACTTGGTAAGGAGAGAATCCTCACTACACTGTCTATGTGTCACCACCACACACACTACCAGCCATAAAACTAAAAATTACAAATCGTTATGGAGGTCTTGTGCTGTTCTTTCTTACACAACGCATAAAAAAGCCATGTGTGGAAAGACCTCTGTGCTTTGATTTCAGTGGCTAAAGATACTTCAAAAACCAAGGAAATGTTTTCTTACCTGTTACGCAGAAAGTCACCAAATGAACATCATCTGGTTGGAGATCAAATGCTCCTACAGCAACAACGATAGCAGCAATGTATAAGACTGACTGGTGGCAAAGCAGGTGCTGTATATAGACGAGGGGGCATTATCAGTGCTGCGCACTGCAGAATAGATGGGCAGAGATACCTAACGCACTGTTCCTAGATAAGGCAACAGAGCAAAGAGTGTTTTGCAGATTTGCTTCAAACTAACTTCTATAAAATTAAAGCCACAGCTACTAAATATAACAGTAATTTACAGAGAGTAGGCATTTGTAATAGCAAAAACATGCTAAAGAAGTGTTGTGCCACTTACTCCTTTTACTGATACTGGTTTAGCTCTGGCATCACGTCAGGTCTGCTTTTGTTCACTATACATTAACAGCTTATATTTAAATGTATTTTCCTAAAATGTTACAGATATAGTGAGCAAATGCAGTCTTTCATTAGCTGTAAATTAATTCTGCTTTTCACCATCCCACACACTAGGAGAAAAACCTTTTTTCCCCCCAAAGTTCTAATAGCAATACAGCATTATTGTTTCAAATTTTAACTTGATGCATGAAAGATGCATCAGAAGGTTAAAAAAATAAATTAACCAAAATACTTTGTTCTGTACAGAACTCTCATACGACATAAAACACAGATAACAGGAATCACTGGGTGCAATGGCCACGAGGGTGCATCCTGGAACCTTTGCAGGTTCCGTTTCCCTTTTTGTTTATCGCCTTGGCCACCTCCCTCCAGTCCTGACATCTGCCCCTGTCCCTGCCCCCTCCCCTTCCAGTGGGGCCAAGGCCTCTCCACACTCAGAAAGTGCTTAGCACAAGCCAGAGCACTTACAGGTAAGCAGGTACTTTATGTTTCCAATTTATTTGTAAAGCTCTGCAATCACTTCTCTGGACTATCGATTTTATACAGAGACATAACATCTTTCGTCAGACAATTCCAAACAATAATTAAATTTTACCTCATCACATCAAGGTATGAAATGAATATTAAGTAAGTCACCCACATATATAGATTTAGACAGTGACAACACTTAACCAAGATCAGGTAGCGTATCGGCAGCAGGAATCAAGCCCCGCTGAACTGCACCCCAATTCTACACACTAGAATATAAGCCAGGAAGAAGTTACAAGTTTAGACCCTCCATCCCACACGCTGGCCATATGCGAGCCTCAGAAGTCCAGCCCCTCTCCACACCAAGGTCTCAGGTAGAGAAAACACCCTTCAAAACGAATCCAGATTTCTTTCCATTAAATGACAGGGGGCTCAGATTACAAACAAACTTTAACCCAAATCCAGTCAGAACTATTTTTTTTTTTTTTGGACATGAGAGTGGAAAAAATGTGAACTTACTAAGAAGCTGATTAGTAAGTTTTTGTGATAACTGCCTATCATCATTGAAACCTCCAACTAGGTGCACTTCCAGCCTAACAGAGATGGAATAACAGGAAACAGCAATTAAAAAGACATCCCAAAGTGAATAGCTTTACAAAATAATCCCCAGCCCAAACTGCAAAGCAATCATTAGAGTAGCCTCACTTGTTACAGTCACATGCACCAAGTTGGTTTGCATTACATAGCAAGTTATGGTAATTCCATTCTGAACACTTCAGGGATCATCCAGGAAAGAGCACAAATTAAGAACTTTAAGAGGCATTATATATATGCAATTCTATCTAACCCAGTGGTATCCCCAATTGTCAGCACCTCTGGTTTGGACTGAACTTAACCACCTTTCAGTTCCCAAGAAAGGGTTAATTAAACATGAAGATTTTTGCTCCCCTGACCTCCTCAGAACTATTCTGGACCATACAGCAGGGTTCTTCTCCGAGAAGCATCTATGTAAAGGCAAGTCCTGACAAATCATGAGTTTTTAGAGACTGTATCGTCTAAGTTCACTGAGATTTTGTTCTTATCAAACTACAGAGGCAAGAACCTTGTTTGCTAAATTGCATTTCAGAGCATTCTTTCCCCACTGTCCTGCCCCACCCCACTACCTTTTTTTTTTTTTTTTTTAATGCGGGACTTAGAAAAATCCCAGATGGATTCTCAGATCCCACAAGGAATTTACAAGACCAACAGTCTGGAAGGAATAATATAAACCCAAAAGCAGTTCTTTGGAAAATTTCGCACATCTGAAACAAAAGTTAACTGCAAAACAGTAAACACAAAACCTCACAATGGCATTTTACAGAGACGCTATTCAGAACAGAACCATGCTTTAAACCACTACTAAAAATACCCTCAAAATCATCATCAAGGAAATTGTTTTCACTTTATGTGTGGTTCCTGATCAAGAGGTATTTCCTGCACAGTTACCTTGTCTGAACCCCTTGTAATCAGATAAAAATTCCCCACCTTACAAACTGCAGTAACCTTTGTGAAAAACAGTACACAAGAACCAAGTGCAGAGCTGACCTTCCGTATCCTGTGGTGTTAGAGAAAGACTTTACTGAACTCATGATGAGCGACACCTCAGCTTCTGTGTCTGATCCATCGCAATGTGTCAAGCAGGTAGCTCCACTGCCTGAGGAAGACGTGAGAGGACAGTTAGTTAATGACACTGTTGGAGGATGTTACGCTACCATAATTGAAATCAGTAACAGTTTACAAAGAGCTACATCCACCACCACCTCGCTTCCTCTCAGGGCAGCAGCCTCCAGCAGAAGATACGGGCTGACTGAATGCGGCAATAACCTCTTTGTGTGCCCCATTATAAAATCGCCAGAACTCTTGTGAAGGGTAGAAGTGCCCGCTTAACCAGAACCAGGCAACGTCTCTAATGGCAGAAATCCAGGCATGTAGCGAGGATCTTTCCACAAATTCTGCCTCTGTTATTACCAAACCCTGCAGGCCCAAACTGCTGAACACAGCCAAGGTCTGCAACTGCCACTACCCACTGGCCATGGGAGCAGATCAAGTTTAGGATCTGCTCATTGAGCAACTGCAACATGGTACCTCTGACACTAAACATGCCAATTCTCTGAACGAGTCATTTAGTTAATACTTCCTATGACTTTTTGAGATTCAAGTTTATATAAAGTAACTGCAGTTTATTTTATTAATGCAGCATAAACCAACACTAATTCATTACTTCAGGGGTACAGATTTTGTTCTGAACATCCTTTAAAGATACCTGTGTGTCGGAGCACAACTATGTGGCAGGTAGTTGCATCATCTGATCCGAGAATGGAAACAGAACCTATTTTAAAGGAGAGAAACATTGTAAGAACTCCGCTCTGACAATCACTGCTTCAGTAGAAGAAAAAATGTTTACGTTCCTACATACCATCTTTAGGGGTAGTTACCGCAAACTCTCTCTGCTGGACATATAGAAGACCTTTGGGTTCCACAATTTGAGCAGGCTGACTTCTCAGAAGTTTTGCCTTTTCCTAAAGATAAATGATAATAGAGACTACAGTGGCTGAATTCTCAGGTGTATCCATTACTTGATAGAAACATCACCTCTGAAAAGCAAAGGGATCCAGGTCAGAGAGAAACATACATATTTTCTATTACGGAGTATTCTGAATTTTGAGAATTTTTCACTTTCCTGCCACTGATCTAGTTAATTGTTAAATCCCATCGTTCCATAGACACACAAAGCCCTTCTCCCTGCTTTATAGATGATAAAATGGAGGTACAACAAAAAGCAATAGGGCTTGGCAAAGATCACATTAGACAATAGCAGAGCTGATCTCCTAAGTTTAACCTGGACAGAAAACTTCTGAAATGTAAAATTTTCAGTCTTCTACTGCCATGATCCAGCATATTTATTTCCTACTTATCAAAATATTGCTATTTATTAGCTTGCTTAGTGCATGGAAAACGCAGATTCCTGGGCTGTGACTACTGCAGCGCTCTGTCACAGACCTGCTGGGTAGGCAGTGAATTTCCATCCTGGGGCTCAAAAACCACTTCACAGTTTTATCAAATTTGCGCTGGTTTTCCGCAAAAACTCAGTTTCCCTAAAGATGCATCTTTTGATGAGAAACATCTTCTCAGCCAACTCTGCTCAGCAGTTCCTGGCTCACTGTCCGCCGTTAGAATTACAACGTTTACGTATCGAAAGAGAGGTTAATAACCTCCTAAAAGTTACTATCTTGACTTTTGTCACCAGTGTTTGTTATTTCGCACAGGGAAAAGGGACAGCCCGGCCGACGGACCCCCCAGCCCGCCAGGGGAGCGGCCGGCCGCACAGCTCGCCCACAAAGCGGCCGCCCTCCGCCTCAGGGGATTCGCCCCTAATCCCCTCCAGGGACGTGGATTTT